GAGTAATGGACTCTACATTAGGTTCAATCCCATTTACCAATTGTTATTTGGATGACATTTTAATCGCTTCCAAAGGATCCTTCTTAGATCACAAGAATATCGTGTTAAAAATTTTATCAACTCTCGACGAATATAATTTCGCGGTGAAATGGTCAAAATGTAAATTCTTTCAAAAAGAAATAGAATGGTTGGGATTCAAAATCTCTAAATCTGGTATTACGCCATTATTCGACAAATCGAAAGCCATAAAAGACTTACCTATTCCGAAGAATTTGAAAGAACTACGTTCGTTTTTTGGTTCTACAAACCAATACATAAAGTTTGTCCCAAACTTAGCATCCTTAGGAAGTCCACTTCGACCCCTTTTAAATAAGAAATCATTATTCCAATGGAACGACGACCATACAAAAGCGTTTGAAAAAATTAAAGAGGAAATCGTAAACCTAACAGAGAATACCCATTTCGACGTGAAACCTAAAACTAGAAAAAAAACAGACGCTTCTCATAACGGACTTGGGGCCTCGCTTGAACAACTCCACGGGAACGATTGGAAAACAACCTCATTCGCTTCACGCTTTTTAAACCCTCACGAGTCTAAATATTCTACGAACGAGCTCGAACTTCTAGGGGTTGTATGGGCCGTCGAACATTATAAAAACTATCTTTACGGATCAGATTTCGAAGTAATTACCGACCATAAAGCTTTATTATCCGCGTTATCACCAAATCACGGGAATAAAAACTACCACAGTAGATTAACAAGATGGGTAGACAGATTATTACCTTTTAATTTCTCTATCAAACACATTGCAGGAAAAGACATGGGTTTCACTGACCTTATTTCAAGAATCCCATCAGGAAAAGCCCTTCCAATATCACACTACGACGAAGAATTCGTAGTAGCAAACATTAATAAGATTAATAAATCATTAAATCCGCCGGAGAAACTTAGAACTACCTGCTCAGCCATTGGTTTTAATCTGGAAAATTCCGATTATGCTTTATTACGTAATTACCTAATAGCAGCAGTGTTAAAACTCATTAATTCGTCTTTTCCAATTTGCTCATTTAATCACAAAAGAACAGAATTTTGTACTTCAAATTGCATTCCAACGGATTATTCGAATACAAATACTAATTATTTCAATTTCTAATTCCGCATTTCTTTATTTTTAATCCCTAATTGTAGTTTAATTAATTCACCTGTAGATAAAAAAATTGTAGATACTGTTAATATGAATAATAAGAATATTGTAATTAATCCCACCACTTCCGGTATTTCCGTAGATTTAGACTTTCAACTTTTACCAGACCACGCTAATCTCGTTAAAAAATACCGTGAAAACTTGAAGTTGCCGGATCGACCCTTGGATTTAAATATTTTATTTAATGCCAAGTTAGTAGCTCTCTTGACAGAAGACGATCCCATGTTAAGCCCAATTGTTAAAGCACTTCAAAATAAGGTGGAGAAGATTAATGCAAATTCTCCGTATTTCAAACATTTTACCCGAGACCTGCATGAATCCGACGGATTACTTTATATGGACGGTAAACTTGTTATCCCATTTACTCTACGAAACGCAATGATGAAGACCTTACACGAAACTCACCCGGGTCAATTTGGAATGAAATACTTGGCCCAATACATCTGGTGGCCTCATATTAACAGGCAAATCTACTTCCACGGAAAAAATTGTTCAGAATGTACATCGGCGGGTAAGAATTTGAAAACTGTCATTCCTAAGTCACAAATTAGTGAACTTCCTCCACTATCGGAACCGAATGAAGAACTAAATTTACATTTCGCGGGTCCTTTGGATTCTTACTGGGGGTCAAAGAAATACATTTTACTTTGTATTGACAGATTTTTTAAATTCCCGTCGGCAAAAATTACATCTTCCACTTCTTCAAAAACAGTCATAGAATTTTTACAAGATTACATATTCTTACACGGGATACCTTATTCTATAAGGGTAGATCACGCTACTTGCTTCACTTGTCAAGACTTCAAATCATTCTGCGATTCCAACAACATCAAAATAATCTTTTGTACAGTAGGCGACCACCGTTCCAACGGATTGGTCGAAAAATTAGTATACACCATGAAAATTAAACTACTGGCTATTTCAAAAGAACATGATAAAAGCACTCTACAGAATGCCGTTTCAAAAATCATCTGGAATTTACGTTCTACTTATCAATCAAAAATTAAATGTTCACCCTTCGAGATACACTATAACAGAAAACCAAATACCATTTGGAAACAATTAGCATCCGGTAAACCCTCCTTTGGAATTTTAGACAAAGGGAAATCAATACTGTCTAAGGAACGAGCTAAGGATTGGAATGCAGATGACAGACTAGAGGACGGCTACAAGGACGACTTGATAGCCAAGAAGAACCAGAACCCGACCGAAAAAGGCTATGACACGGACTATGCTTCTTCCTCGAAAATCACCTCCAATAGACTACCAATCAAAAGTCCATTCAAAGGTAAAATCCTTCGGAAATCCAACGGCAATATAAATCGAGACTGTTTCTATAAGGAACTAAATAAAAGAATTATAAATTCTTCTACTTCGACTGTAAAGTTATCCGACGGAAAAATAATTCGAAAATCCGATATCGCGATTCCGATTTATACCTCAAATAAAATCAGACCTTTTAAAGGAAACATTTCATTCCCGTATTTTCCTAATGCTAATGTTGAAGTAGGTCAGAAACAGAAAGGACCATCACGGAAACCAAGATCAAGAAAGCCAACCAAAAGAACGGCAAGACAGTTGAACCCGACCACTTCAGACAACCTAACTAGGACATACGTATCAGGGTCTTCACACAAACATACCAGAAGACAAACACATCACGCAAAGAAGTCTACAACACCCCCAGGTTACCTCGCTTCGGATGAATCCATGATAATTCCTTCGGATATTTCGGACACTAGCGAATGGGAATGGATAGCGGGCGGTTTTCCTTGTAGAGACGTAGCCAGGGAACGCTTTATTTCTGACCTAAATACACCTCATGTCTCAATCAAAAATAATCCTAATTCTGCTATAACACGTCCAGAAATAAAATCTGAGGTTTTAGAAAACTACATCGACCCTAACAGCGAACAACCTACAGAACAACCAAACGAGTGTCCAATAAGCATAATACCCGCCGGCAGAACACCTAGTACAGCGGAACAGAAAACGGTGACCCAGGGAGGGGACAACGACAATTCGGAGCATCAAAACGGACAAGATGAGTGTAATCTAACGGATAACAACTCGGTTACAGACTTCCCAGTCTACGAGATTAACGACTCATCCGACGAGTGCACTGTACTTACCGATCCTACTACTAAATCCGGTAAAATTACCCCTACCATCCGTCGTTCTGGTAGAAATGTAGGCCCACCAAAATTTTATGGCAAACGTTATTTTATTGATGCAGTAGATAACATACAAGAAACATCCGGTTCGGCGACCGATCCAATCGTGATTGAAATTGAAGAACCACATACGTCAGACAATAAGACGACTCCGGCGGAGCCAATCGTTCTTGACTCAAGTTCACCATCTTCGAACCAAATATCAACCTCATCAACGGACGAATCACTAAGGATGGAACTGGAAAATTTTGGGGATCATTCTGATCTAGATAGTGAACTTTTCAACAAGGAACTCGAAAACTTTTTAAACGATTATAAATCTTTGTAAACAATTTGCTATACATATCCCAGTCACTTGTCATTTCAAAGAGCTCATACTACCCTATAATCGGTGCTATCCTCAGATATCAAAAGTTCTTCAGTAATTTCGTATACGCTACCAAAAGGAAAAGCGATCCTTCGGATAAACCGTCAGTAAAAGGAAAACAAAAGAAAGTGGTGCTCTAAATTTCCCTAATCCGACCTGCCTTTAGTTGGTATAACTCAAACCAGTTATTTCCACCCATAACTCGGTGATAATTTTTTTCTTCCATCTCGAATTCTTTAAACCCAGCTCATATCCGTCGGAATCCGGATAATTAATTCACAATTCTAGTTTTGAATTTAATCATATAGTGGCGCTTCTGTTTAATGTCATCTCCTTATTTATGGCGCTTGATTTCCTCTCTTTTCCTAGTCTTTAAAGGAAAAACTTACTGCAATTTGGCAGTTGGTGTATCTAAAAGCATTACTTCACACATAAAACCCGGCGACATCTATTGCATACTTCAATTTTATTAAAATTCATCTCATATCCGTCGGAATCCGGATAATCAATTCTCAGTTTAGTTTTCGAATTTAACCACTTAGTGGCGCTCCAGTTAATGTCAATTCCTTATTACAGCACTTAATTTCTTTCTTTCCTAGTCCTAAAGGGGGAGAAAGGAGTCAGACTTAGTTAGTTATGGTGCTTATTTTACTCATAATTTAAAAAATTTTTCCTGCTTAGGGGAATGTTGTGATTTACATCATGTTTTGCAATTACTGCAAAACATATTAGTTTATTTAACTGGTCACTTTATTATGACCTTCATCTGGTCATTCTCTCCTGCGGAGAGAATGATCTCTCATTGTTTTAATGTTTTAACTTACCGACTAATTCATTTTAATTCCATATTCTTTTTATGGTTTTAACTTAGAATTAGCTACAACAAAGTAACATTTTATCAAAACTTTTTACACAGAAGCCTTGACCTTGATTTAAAATAAACTTTCAATTGAAAATTTTCTCCTGGGTGACAACCAACGCAATGGAAATTATTTAAATTAATTTCATGGCTCTTTTTCCTTACTTCCTTACTCCCCCCCCCCCTACAAAATTTTTAAAATAAAAAATTGGTTCACAACCGATTGTTATGAAAATTGGCATACGGACTACTTAGGCCATGGCAAACATATTTAGTATTCCTGGTAGAACACTCGTTACACCATAAAATTGATGCTCGTGTGAGGTGGGGGGGGGGGGGGGGGGGAGGTAGGGAGGAGGAAAAAGAGCTGTTTTCACTTGACCAGCTTCACGTACGTGGCAGTTGGAGAAAGTGTCTTCTTGCTCTTCTAGTTTCCGTTTTTTCTCAGGTTGAATCAGACAATTGGAAGACATCTACAAACTCTCATCCATCCCTCTAAAAACTTAAAACATTAAAATTGAAAGACATTAAACGCATGAAGTAAATTTTTTATCACTTACACCAATTATTGGTATTTGCTGACTAGAAACATCCGGCATATTAACCATTATAATCCGGTAGGTAATCAGGTCAAAATTATCATGATAACAAAATATGTATCAAGTATCTTTCATCACGTCGTCCAGTCAAAAAAATTTCAGGTGTGTATTATCGGAACATATAACAATTGTGCCATGCGATCAAAAATGGCGGTTAACGAGTTTGGCACTTAACGGAAAGATACTTAAGTAGAAAGAATTTATTGACGGAGAAGGTCACATCTCGATCGAAGTTTCTAATTTGCAAATTTAAACTGACCATGCGACGGCCAATTTCATTAATGGCGTTTTCTCTGGCAAAAAAAAACAACACTCTCCTCGCCCCCGTGCTCGTTTACCCCACAATTTAAGACTATTTCAAGTAAATAGCGCAATTATACAATCTTTTAGCAGGTTCAAAATTCAAATCTTTCTTCAAAAGACACGTTTTGTCTGCAAAGGTGGAAACTCAATTTATTTTCTTCAAAATTGACCTGCTGTTTTGCTTGCACATCGAAAGTTATGTGGACAGGTGGAAATTCAAATTTTTTTTCCTCAAAACTGACGTGTTGTCCGCGAATGAAGAAGTATCGGGTATCGGAATCAGAGTGAAAATGAGATGAAAGATAGGACAAATACTGAGCTGAAAATTAGATTGGCAAAAAGGGGACAAAGTGAACTGTATACAGTCTTTTAGGTTGTTCAAAATTCAAATCTTTCTTCTTCAAAATACGTTTTGCTTGCAAATCGAAAGTTGAATACAGGTGGAAATTCATTTTTTTTGTCTTCAAAAGAAGGACGTATTGCTTTTTTTTTTGCAAATTGAAAATTATCCAAAAAGGTGGAAACTCAAATTTTTCTTATCCAAACATCAGGTCTTGTCTGCGAATGAAAAAGTATTGGAATCAGAGTGAAAAAGAGATGAAAGATAGGACAAATACTGAGCTGAAAATTAGATTGGCAAAGAGGGGACAAATTACTACAGCAAACCGGAAGGAGAGGAGAGCAAATGGATGATACATTATCAGAAGCTTAAAACTGTTTGGTTTTTTTCCGCTTCGTTTCTCGTGGCCAGCGGAGTAATGAACTCAACAATTCTTCCACCATCGTTTCACGTTGATGTAACAGTCGCCTACTTCGGTCACATATGAGGTTTAAGAAAAATAGGCCCTATAACCATTGGCTCAAGAGTCAGGGACATTATCTCTTGTGTTTTTCTACCTAAACAACGGTCGGAGCCAATTCGGTTCGCTTGTGTAACATTCGCCCAAATACTACACAGCGACGGAGCGTAGAAAAAGTACCTATTAACGACTGGCAGGCGTCAGTTACTTTAATCCTACTCGTTTTTCACCGTCTCGACCTTGCCAGTTGATTTTCTGGTCTGTTTAGGGCTAAGTAAAAAGTTACTATTTTTAGGCCATCAGTCAAACGACTTTTGATCAGCTTTCGTTTGCATGCGGACACAACCACATAGCTGAGTCTCGGATCATCAGACTACGTGATTGCTATTAAAAACACGGCTCCAACAACCTATTTTAATATGTTTTTGTGTGACAGTTTGTGACATTCGACCAGAATGGCTAAAATGCAATTTATGCAGACTTCGAATTTTTAGCAGTAAGCCTTCCGGATTGGTGGTTATTAAAAACTAAGAACGTTATTGGAACGATAGGCCAAACGGTGAGGGCTGGAATATTCTAGTATTTTAAAATTTCAAAAATTCGAATTATGACGTCATATTTCTGAGAAACGTCAGAAACGGCCATTTTGACAGAAAACGAGAGAGAAAACACAACAACATTAGTTGCGCTGACGATAACAACGATAATCGTGATTGAAAAACAGCAGCAGATTGCAGGAATAGCAGAGAACGTTCCGAGTTGCAACTATTGTGCTGCTACAATAGTTGCAAGGCCGTTGCGAACAACGGTGAAGGGTAAGAAACCAGCCTTCCGGATTAGGAAGAAATCAAGATTAACGAGCTTGATTCAGCGGATTCAAGAATCTGGAAGGGTCTCGGGACTGAAACTTTTATTGACTCGAGTAAACTTTTAGCTTCCTGTCATGTCCTGACTTGAATTTAATTGATATCTGGATTCATTTTGATAAGCATGAGAAGCTAGGAGTTGGGGGAAAGGGTTGATCCATCTTCGATGGAGATGATGATTTTTATCTACTGAACAAAACAATAGTAATATAATAAGTAGTAGCCCTGTTTTTAGGAGTGACCTCGTGGTCTGGGGATACTGAGACCCAGCCATGAGCTCACTTTTTTTGCATGTAATCTAGTTAATTTGAGTGTTTTGACCGAAGCCGAAAGCAGTAACGTTTTTGTCGACCCGATGTTAGAAAAGACCACCGAAAAGTACTGGCTTGGTAGAGACGGTGAAAAGCATGCAAAGCTCTGTTTAGACGCTATCCAGTCGTCTTAAGACTTAGTTTTAATTTCCGTCGATATGTATCTTCCGGGCGAATATTACATGTATGTTTTTATGGCGCTCCTGGGTGTTATTCTTTTTTAACATCATGACCGGCAGAACCGTTAACGAGCACTCCCCGCCGAGCGGATGCTCACATTAACGCCCTTAATAGGCCTAAACCGCCGGGGTGGAAGGGTAGTTCGGAACGCGGAAGCCTTCCGGATTACCGTGAATAGTTTTTTAACCTAGTTAAGACCGAAAATTCATGAACCAGGAAGGGTGGGGGGAATCGCGAACCCCTCGTCCCCTGAGTGGTTTGTGACCAAAAACACTTAAAGATATAAGTAAAACCAAACAAAAAGTAGTATAGTACCCAAGAAAAACAAAAAACATAAAAAAAACCGAAAAAACCAAAAACAGTAAAAAAGTAGAAAATCAGTAGAAATCATCCCCCCAGACAAGATGTGATCCGACCCCCCCGTTTGTTGTTGATAGATATATTGTTGTTACAGGCATTTATATCAGTCAGGATTGTTACGATCAGTTTTGTAGCCCGTTTGTGAGGCTTGTACTGTAGGGTTATTTGAGCATTTAAGCACGTTAATGATAAATTGCGCTCAATCCGGAGGGGTCAGCTGATTTGCGCTCAATTCGGAAGGGTCTTGGGAGAAGACTGATCCGGCAAGCAGTACAAGGAGCAGCAAGAAGAGGCTCAACGACAACAACAATCGACTGTTGGGTATCGTTAACAAGTTTTGTATCCCTTTTGCTACAAAAATTAAGATAGTAATCTGTGGGGGGCTCGACAGTGCTGCACTGTAGTGACCCTTCACCGAACTGCGAATATCTGAGTTAAGCACCTTAATTCGGATATTAAACAAACCTGGAGGGGTATAATATTACTAATCTTATTACTTATATAGCCTATATCAATAGTCTTATATCGTTTTTTGGTGAAAAACAACGAAAACAGACCGGTTTTTAGGGTCAAAATAGCGATATTTTGATCCCCCCACAAGTCGCGATTTTTGAGATATCGATATTTTTTGAAACGGAAAAAAGCGCTAAGTTAGTGTGTTACATTGTAACTGCACTACCATAATAGATAGAACCGGTTAAGTTAATTTCGAAGGTGGTTGGACTATTTTGGTACCGAAAACTGAAATTTCGTGATTTTTGAGAAAACGGAACACTATAAATTCAGAAAATTTTTTGAAATTTTTGGGTTAGGACAGTAAAAATAGGTTTTCGAACAACGTCCACTAGTGAATGTACAAGTTTTAAAACCCGCTACCCGAAAGCCTTCCGGGTTGCAGAGAAATCGAACTTAACGTGTTTGATTTGGTGGATTCATCAATCCGGAGGGGTCCAGGTAGCAAAGTTTTTCGCAAATTTTTTCTACAAAAGCATTTTAGATCGGGTCTTTTGCATTGAAATAAAAGAGTATAGGCCTTTTGAGCTCGGATCAATAATTTTTAGGTCGAAAGGACCAGATTTGCGGAAAATGTTAGGCGGAACCTATAAGAGAGAAAATTTTTGAGTTTGGAAAAAAGACGTTTTGCTTAATAACTTTGGAACTACTGAGCATATCGAGTTGATCTTGGTACCAATAGATCAGAAATTAGCTGAGCTTATTGATAGGGTTAGAAATTTTTCGGAAAAATAAGCGTGAAAATTTTTTGAAATTGTTTTTAGCAAATTCCTCAATTTGGAAGGGTACACCCTTCACGTTTTATAATTTTTTTTAGAAAAGCCCTTATACCCCTACCAAAAGGTAATAGCGGTTGAATAAAGTAACTTTAGGCCGTTCTAGACACACAAGGGCTAAAGGCACAGCAAAAGCTTAATCGAGCCGAAGTTAGGCCAGCGATAAGACCCTTCACCGTTAGTGTGAATTGTCAAATAGGAGGCTTAACTTCAATCCGGAAGGGTCTAGGAAGGTAGTACATACCCTTCCCAATTAATTGAAAGAGCATAATTGCATCGGAGAACGTATCCGGAGGGGTATAGGTTGAAAAAAGAAATCTCCGAAAAGCTACTTTTACAAAACCGGAGGGCCCCCAGTCCGGAGGGGTCAAAGATTTTTCAAGTTAGGAGGGGTCCGAATCCGGAGGGGTCTTATAGTTGCTAATTCGGAGGGGTCCAAATCCGGAGGGGTCTTGTATTAACCAACTCAGAGGGGTCCAAATCCGGAGGGGTCTAGATTCTATTAGTCCGGAAGGGTCCTATTTGTGCCAATCCGGAGGGGTATTGTTTTATTAAGGACTTAGGTAGACGAAAGAAAGACTAAAAAGTGAGAGGTATTAGGTTATTAACACACAGGCTAGGTATCAGTGACTGCACTGTTAACTTGCCTTTCAATAAGAACCAGACTAATACAAAACAGGTCCGAACTCGGATATTCAGGACACTAAGTTTAAATTAAAAAGAGCGTGATTCATTAGTGTGGATTGAAACATAATACGTTTTTGGGAAAAGTGACTGCCCTGAAGATTTTATTAG